TCCCTTTCTGCTTCCGTGCCACCCAGCAGGTCATTCCCTAGGCAGTAGGTATGCTGGACATTTTTCCTCCCTAGGTGCAGCACTTTGCATTTCTCCTTGCTGAATTGCATTCTGTTGTTTTCCGCCCACATGTCCAACCTGTCCAGGTCTGCTTGCAGCTGTTCCCTGCCCTCCGACGTGTCCATTTCTCCCCACAGCTTTGTGTCATTCTCAAACTTGGACAGAGTACACTTCACTCCCTCGTCCAAGTTGCTGATGAAGATATTGAAGAGAATCGGTCCAAGGACCGAGCCCTGCGGGATCCCACTGCCCACACCCTTCCAGGTCGATACCGACCCATCCACTATGGGCTAGGATTCAGAGAGACCTCAAATTGGAGGATTGGACCAAAAGAAATGTGATGAGGTTCAATAAGGACAAGTGCAAAGCCCTGCACTTAGGATGGAACAACCCCATGCACCAGTACAGGCTGGGAGCTGACTGGCTGGGTAGCAGCTCTGCAAAAAGACCTGGGGTTTACAGTGGTCAATAAGCTGAACATGAGCTAACAATGTGCTTTTGTTGCAAAGAAAGCTAACAGCATATTGGGCTGCACTGGTAGGAGTATTGCCAGCAGATTGAGGGAGGTGATTATTCACCTCTGTTTGGCACTTGTGAGACCACATCTGGAATGGAATACTGTGCCCAGTTTTGCCCACCCCCCAAGAAAGGATGTGGACAAATTGGAGAGAGTCCAGCAGAGGGCAACAAAAATGATTCAGGGGTTGCGGCACATGACTTCTGAGGAGAGGCTGAGGGAACTGGGCTTATTTAGTCTGACAAAAAGAAGACTGAAAGGCTGTTATTACATCCTCTCTAGCTCCCTGGTGACAGATGACAGAACAAGGAGCAATGGGCTCAAGTTTCAGCAAGGGAAATTTAGGTTAGATATTAGGTCCCTTTTAACCCTAATTTTCTATGATTTTGTGATTCTGAGTGGGAAGGAGGATGCTTATCTGATGTGATGGTCCTAGGTAGTCTATGTTGGAGCTCAGAGAGAAAGCATGGTTAAGTGTTGAGGGCATTAGATGAGGATCAGGGAGTCTTACTTTTAATGGCTATCTGTAACAGAATCCCTGTGTCACTTAGGGCTAGATTTTTAATAGTTGGTAGGTGCTGCAATAAATACCTCTAAAAATCGGACTGTAAGTTACTCTGGCTGCTTACAGATGTTAAAAAAAAAGGGGGTGCTTTACTGGAGGAAACAGCACTTTACTTGGACCTAGCTCTGCAATCAGTCGCGATTAGATAACAGCACCAAAAAGGTCCACTAAAGCACCCAATTTATAGAGACATTAGGCGAGCTAGATCCAGTGAAAACCACTGCCCTAATCCCACTGGAATGAGGGAAGTGCTTTCCTTTCCATTGTAGGGATTAGGGCAGTGGTTTTCATCCTATGGTCTGCAGACAACTCAGGGTCTGCACACTTTGTCTAAGGGCTCTGCAAAAGAAGACTGTGATCAATGTTCCCTCTAAGGAGTAGCGGTCCGTAAGCGGACCTGCTTTGGTCCATAAGCGCGCCGCTTTGGTCTGTGAGCGCACTGCTTCGGTGCAGTGTGGGACACCTACCGAAGGTACGCTCCTCACTCTTCACCCGGGGCAGGCAGTGGGGGCTGGGGCCTGGCATGGGCTCCGCTGGGTCCGGGACTCTGCTCCGCTCCCCCACTTTGCCTTGGGGAGCAAGGAGGCACATGGCATCAGGGCTGGGGAGTGGAGAACCTCCCTGGAGCCGGTGGAATCCACGGAGCAGTTCCCCAGAGCGGGCTGGAGGCTGGGGCTGGGGACTGGCGCAAGCTCCGGTGGCTCCAGGGAACTGTTCCACCCTCCAGCCTCCTCACTCCCTGAGGTGAAGTGAGGGAGCAGAGCAGTTCCTTGGAGCTGGCGGAGCCTGCACCAGGCTCCCGCCCCTGCCTCTGCCTCGCCTCGGGGAGGAGCTTACCTTCTGTAAATGTCCCATGCCGCAGCCTAGCTCCTATCCCGGCGGGTGCACGGCCTAAAAAAGTTTGTGTGCAGCCGCACGTGCGCACACCTTAGAGGGAACCTTGACTGCGATCAATCAAAAGTACGTGAATACCCACACTTACAATTCAAAGGGGTCCGCACCTCCATTCAAAATTTCCAAAGGGGTCTGCACTTTCATTCAAAATTTTTAGTGATGGGCAAATGAAAAAAGGTTGAAAATCACTAGATTAGGGCATTAAGGATTAGGAGGCACTCATGTACTGTGGTACTATAAACGTGCCTCTGAAGAGGGATGAAATAATACTGTCAAAGCTTAGGGCAGGCCAGCAACATGGAAGAGACTGTGCCCATGGCAAGGTGACCCACTGAGCAGCATGTTAAAGATCCTATTTACAAGACTGTGTGTGTTTTCCTTTCAAAAAAATAGTTGCTTGTGATGCCATGGGTTCGACAGAGCAGGGTGCCCCAAACCAGTGGTTCTCAACTTTTTCTCTCCCATAACTCAGCTAGAAACCCCCCCTAACAAGGTCCTGGCTGAAATCTTTGCAATGATCTCTTAAGTTTTCCATGCTGCCAGTGCCCTGACTTTGGCAATCCCTCACTAGCCCACAATTAGGCATGTCCCCTTCCCAGCCTGTGTCCTATGCCTACGAAGGAGTTGCATCTGTGCAGGTCCCTTTCTTCTCCAGAACTGAGAAGGCAATTCACAAAGCAGCTTTCCCTGTTGCTCTGCTTTGAAATGTTACAGTCAAATACCAATGCAAAGTTCTCTGACCACAGAGAGAGAGAGGTAGGCAGCCATGTTAGGCTGAAGTCAGGGTAGATTTGCACCTTATAGACTAACTCTGATTTAGTTAGCCTATAAGGTGTAAATCTACCCTGCCTTCTTTTATGCTACAGCCTGGAGCTGATCCCAGGAATACAGGAATAGGGAACTGAAAGGGGTGTCCTGGGCCATCGGGTCTGGTCCCCTGTGGTTGTAGGCAACCGTGTGTCCAAAGAGCCTCCAGATTGCCCATTCCAGCCCCTCTCATGCATTACAGCCACCAAACACCCTCAGAGGGGGAAATGCCCCTACCCACAGGCACTGCCAACGCTCTCCCACTGCAACAGCAGAGAAATTATTGGATGAATACATGCTCAGGTGTTCCTAGGAAAGTGCAATGCCCTATGCTATGGAGGAAGGCTAGGATCCCCATGGTCTGCACCAATCTAGCCTAAAGAAAAACCTTCCTGTTTCCACATCTGCCCATCAATGTGTCTCTAACTATATGAGTAAGACCCACCCAAGCTCCAGCCAATGTTCAGTGCTTCAGAGGGCAAAAGAAACCCCACAAAAGAGCAGCAGCAGCAGCCTCCAAATTCCTCGTCTGGCTGCTGGTAGGCGAACAACACAGCTGCAGCTCAGTCTGCTCTTGGTAGGTGCTTATGTGCTCACCCCAGGATCCCTAGCAGGGATGAGCTGGACACATGCAAGGGGGTAGGGAAAACTCCTTGTCTCTAATATTCCCCCTATGTGGTCTCCCAGGGTCAGGTGTAACCAACCCTTTCCTGATCCTTAGCTTTTGGTCCTGCTTACACCCGGAAGTCCTTGTTTCTAAATTAAGGTGTGCCAGTGCCCTGCTGTGCTAGTGGACAATAAGGCCTTTCCAGCCTTCGCATGGTCTCTGGAGACGGTCTCACCTCAGGGATGCAAAGGAAGGGAGAAGAGCAGGGCTGTGCATGCAGGCTAGGAGCCCCTTGCTCTCCACAGGTCGGCACAGTGGGTTGGACACAACGGGTAAGGGTTTAGGGGTGTGAGTACGTTGTGCCCAATAAAGAGCTGTAGTAGAAAACTGTCCAGCCCGGGGCGCCCAGGTGTGTTTCCCGGTTGCGTTTCTGAATCACAGTACCCAGCTTGCTCTCCCCGTCCCATACTGGCTGCAACACAAGCAGAGCAAAGAGCAGTAAAATCTTCCCTGGGCTGAAGATCTACTGTCATCATTCCTGTCCCCACCCCCAGGGCCGGGCAAGGCACCATCTCAGTGCCTGAATAGGAGGAGGACGACACAGCCATTCTGCAGGCCCATGTAGGCAGACCTTCCTGGGTGGGCACCACCAAACCATGCCCTTAGCACTGCCCCTTAGGGTCTTTCTGTTTCTTTTTTGAATTTAATGTTGTGTTTTTTGGAGAAGGGGGAGGAGCAGTGTGTCATTGTGGGACAGTCACAGCCCTTCTAGAGGAGAAAGGGATGCAGGCTCGGAAGGCACATTGGGAGAAGGTAGGGGGATCTTCCCTGGGAGCGAGGCAGGGGAGTGGGTGGACAAGAAATGGAAGAAATAGGAAGTTTCTAATACCCGGATGTAGGTGGTGGTTGGAAGGCATGGTTGGGATTAGCTGTAGGGTTTTCTGGCATGGGGCTTCAGGCCTGGAAGTGGTAGTTAAGGGATGGGGAGTTGGAGATCTCAAGTTTTGGAGACATGGTCTGGGGAATCTATTGTTTCCTGCCTGTAGGATGTCTGTCTGTTCACTGTAAGCTGCTCTGATCCTTTTGAATAGGGCGGGATATAAATACATGAGCCTTCAGGCCTGTTCTCTACAGGGGATGGGCACCTATACTTCCAACTGGAGAAGCGGCTGGAGCTCTGCACCTTTATGAATCAGGCCACAGCTTTTGGTCAGAACAGGCAGGCCTGTATGGTTCAAAGCTGCACCAAGCTGAGGTGCCCCTGGCAACTAGCTCTGAATCAGAACCAGCAAAGCTGGGTCAGGGTGGCACTGCCACAGGCTATACAGCCCTTCTCCTCTGCACAGAAGAGACCTTCAAATGCATGCAGGTAATGTGGCAGCAAAGAAAGCAGGTGCTATTTTTACAATGCAGGTAATGTGGCAGCAAAGAAAGCAGGGGCTATTTATAAACAGCAGGCAAAAGCCTGGCTTCAATTAAATTCAATAGAAATGTTGCTATTAACTTGAGTGCTGCTAGGATTAAATGTAAATGGGTACCAGCCATTTTACCTGTGCCAGAGGATGGTGGTGTGACAGACCCTGGGCTGTCATCTTCTGGCTCTGACACGGTCACCACTGGAACCACTTCATGGCTTGGTTTCAGACCTGTTTCTTGCTTATGGATAGTTGTCTCCTTGCTAGCAGGTTCTCCTGTGCTCTCTGTCTCGGTGAGTGTGATCTTGACCGGCGAGGTGATCAGCGAGGCACTCTGATGGTCACCAAACATTTCCTCTTCCAGTAAGTTCTGTCCTTTGGCCACTTTGGTCTCCTCAAAAGCAGTTTTCAGAGAGGTGGAACCGTGCTTCGGCTTGGCCGACGCCGCAGGAGACCTATCGAGAAAGCCTGCGCTCTTGTCTTCTGGGCTCGTCTCGCATTTTGCTTGGTATTTGATCTCTTCTGATCTGCTTATGTCAATATATTTATAAGCTTCTACTTTCATGGGATCCGCTAAAGTTTTGTTGACGTCGGTGGATTCTGCGGGAGTCAACTCTATTCCTGAATCAGAGCTAAACAAGCCGTGGGACTCAAACCCAGTCACCTCTTGAATGGCGTGCCCCAGCGTGCTAAACCCTTCTGTGCTGTCTGAACAGATGACGTGGCTATTCTCTGGCTGCAAAATCCCTGTGAAGTAGGAAGAATCCCGTGGAGTCGTATAATGGACATCTGAAATCAGAGTAGTATAGAAGGATGCATCGCCTCCGTTCGGGGCTTTTGTAGACGTGTAATCAAAGAAGTGGGAGGATGCAGGGTCACCTAAAACAAAACACAGGAACAGCACACAGTGAAAAAGTGAACGGGGCCTTCAGTTGTTCTGTCAGTAAAGGCACACTTGCCCCAAGGATCAGCAGCTTTTAGGAAGATAAATCTGCAATCAGATTAATTCAGAGAAAAAGGTGAAAGATTTCCTGGCACGACATACACACAGGTGAAAGGACACACAGAACACTACGCATGTGTAGCCTAGTTTGAGTGTCATTTTGCCATGGTCAAACACACCCACAGTCACCGCACCTCCGTTCATGGCAACCGAACTTGGAACCTGTGACAGCAAGGGCCAGATCTTATTCCCCTTATGGGATGCCCAAGCGTGATCCTATTCCACCCTACTTGGGTCTCTGAAAAACAGATAACGAATTTAATTTTGTAACACAACATTGTTTTAGCCTTAAGATTAGGTGACAAAAAACAGCAAGGAAAAGCAGGACCTACCACCGTTTGTGTTAACTGTTTTCAAGCATGGTGGAACAGGATCACACTTAGGCAACCAAGTCCACCTTGGTGGCTAGCAGGTGGAGTAGGATCTGGGCCTAACAAGCCCAAACTGTCACTGGAGCTAAAGTAGCTGCTGCACTGCTTGGACGTGCAGAACCCATGTGGTTTAGTGGGCAAGGTATTTGTTTCAGCCTCAAATGGGGGGCATTATTCTTGGCTCTGCCACTGAGCTGATAGATGTCCTTAGACAAGTCACTCCACATCCCTGTGCCTGTTTCCACTCGTTGTTTGTCTGTCTTGTCTGCTTAGAGTCCAAGGGCTGATCTTTGAAAATATTTAGGCAGCTAAAGATGCAAGCAGGGACCCCATGAGATGCCCAGAGGCACTGAGTGAAACATGTACCTGCGCTCTACTGAAGCCGGTTTGGGAGAGCAAGCAGAGGTTAGGTGCTGAACTTGCTCCGGCCCTTCTGCAGATCCTATTAGGCACCCATAGGATCTGATCTGATCTGATGTGATCTTTAGACCCCTTCAATTCTCCTGATAATTAGGCCCCAGGCTCATAACTCTCCACCCTTTTCCCTTTTGAATGGTCTTGTTCTTCCACATCAGGGGGCTCAACCCCCAGCCTGTGGGCCAGATCCAGCCTGGGATGCCATGTCATCTGGATCCCGGGGCTCCACAGGGGTCCAGAAATTTGGCAGCAGGAGAGCGGCGCCACCACTTTCATGCTGCCTTTCCAGACCCATGGGGATCCCTGAGCCCTGAATGCTGGGCTGGGTGCCCAATCCCAGTGTGCAGGGCTGGGCAGAGGCAATGCCAGGCCCCACAGCCCAGTCCTGGTGTGGGGGACCAGAAGGGGGTGGCACCAGGCCCCTGGAGCCCAATCCCAGTGCATGGAGGTGGCACCAGGCCCCTGGAGCCCAATCCCAGTGCATGGAGGTGGTACCAGGCCCCCCGGAGCCCAATCCTGGTACATGGGGGCAGGAGGGGGATGGTGATGGCCTCCTGGCCTATAGGGGTGGGACGGGGTGCCCAATTCTGCCATATGGAGGCAAGAAGTGGGTAGCACCAGGCCTCCAGGCCCCAATCCCAGTATGAATCATAGAATCATAGAAGTCGGGTCGGGAGGGACTTTGTAGATCTTCAGGTCCGACCCCCTGCCTGGGCAGGAAGAAAACTGGGCTCAAATGACCCCAGCCAGGTAGGCATCGAGCCTCTTCTTAAAGACCCCCAGGGGAGGAGCCAGCACCACTTCCCTCGGAAGTTGGTTCCAGATCCTAGCCGCCCTGACTGTGAAGTAGTTCCTATGGATGTCTAATCGAAACCTACTCTCCAACAACTTGTGACCGTTATTCCTTGTTATTCCGGGGGGCGCTAGGGGAAACAAGGTCTCCCCCAAACCCTTCTGGTCCCCGCTAGTGAGTTTGGGGCAGGGAGGTATGTGGGGCAGAGAGGTGGTGGCACTGGACCCCAGGGCCTAATTCTGACACACAGGGCTCGATCCAGCCCATGGACCAGCATTTCTCTTGTTTGGGTCATATCTTTGGTCACCTCTCTTTGTTCCTACTTCACAGCCAGCTCTGTTCCTTTAAGAGAATGGTTTTGTTCACCTGGAGTTAAACGCAAGCCATTGCTTTCCTGTTATTTAGTTCAGCCTGTCTGGCTCTTTCCCAGACACTTCTGCTTTTTTGCGCCCCAAAGCTTGTCCAATGTTCCTCTCAACTATGCAGCTTGTCCACTAAAAGATAGCACAAAAAAACAACAACCCTTGTCTCATACTTGTGTCTCCTTCGGTGCCATTTGTCTCAGCTGGGACTGCAAGGTGCTAATTGTATCACAGATAAATGGTAAGAGTAAAAATACCTGGAAAAAGCAGCTCTCACAGATACTAAACAAGCACGTCATATGAGCACAGCTTGGGGGACTGTAGCAGTAGCACAAGTGGAGGCGGGCGAGCAGGACATCTGTCCCAGGTGCCAACTTAGAGGAGGCACAAGGCGGGCGGTCAGTGCTAACGCTGGCCCAGCCCTGGGTGCAAACACTGCTTGCTACTTCTCTCATTGTTCGCAGTTCCCACATTCCAGTCCGCTCTCTGCTACTGACCTTCTTTGTGGCCCTTGCCAAGTTGCTTAAATTCTTTCTTTCCACAAGTGACTTCTATTTATAAGTGTCTCGACTTTTCAGTTCCCAGCTTTCAAAATCAGGGGCCTTGTTTCCAGACCTGCCAGGCCTTCAGGGCCACAAGTGAAGCTCGGGCGAGCTGGAGGGTCCAGACTAGTTCAGACTGATCAGCTTCTGATGGAAAGAGGTTCAGATGCGCTCGGGCCTCATCTAAGCATCAAACTATGTGGCCAAAGTTTTAAAAGAAGATGATAAACAGTGGTATAACCAACAAATGAGGCACCCCAGCCAGAGGTCACGCTTGAACTTTCTCTGCCTTCTATGAAATAGGATAACTAGAAGATAGTGTAGATAGACTCATTCATTTAATTCTGTCTTCAGGTACTACTGGTAACTAGGAAAGTTTCTATCCTGCCCTAAAGGTCTTGACAGATTTGTTACTATTTAAAGGATTTCAATTCACTAGTAAAAGGAGGTCACGGCAATGGAATGATGAAGCCACATGTTCGTACCTTCCTTAGAAAATCAAAAGTTGCTAAACTACAACCAGACTGCAGGTGAATGCTCTTCAAGGAGAAACAAGTGCTATAAATAGCAGTAAACTGTGCTGGGGAGGCATAAATACCTCTGTATTCAGAGGTGTACTTGGTAGCCGTACACCCCTGAAACATGGAAGATGCCGAATTTTAGCCGATTTTGGATTTTAAACTTCACTGCAGAACAAGGAAGTTTTTTTACCTCCCTGCCTGCCATCTGACACCTCCAGGGAAGGAATCCTACCTGATCAACACATCAAAGTGATACTCAACACAGTTCACAAAGACACTCTCAGAGACCTAGCGGGACAGCCTTCCATCTTCAGCTCCCTCTGTGCAAAAATGAAGTTTATTTCCTACTTATGGGGACTTTTTACCATCTTGTACCATCTACACTTTTCCCAGAGCCTGACGAAGGAACTTTGATCCCGAAAGCTTGCAGAAAAGGACAATTTTCTTGCCATTTTCCAGTTGGTCTAATAAAAGGTATCATTTTGAAACCAAGAGTTCTAGTTTTTTGTATGTCTGTATTCAGAAAGCTAATTCCTGTTTGGAAAATAAAATTAGCAACAAGTATTTTGCCAGAACTCAGCTACAGATTGAGAGATTCTCCCTCAAGTTTAAATGAGATGGAACCATAAAGATGAAGTAGTCTGAATTCCTGACTCTTCAAACCTATTACATTTCACCCACTTGCCCCTCTACTGAGTTCAAGAATTGGTGTTTAGCTAAAGCATGGCTCCCAAAAAGGTGCCTAGTCTAGGCCTGAGGACATCATCCCACAGTCTTCTGCACATGCCAGCCAGAATGGGAGTCTGCGCCTGCACAGAAAAAAGGTTTCTCCTCAGTCTGTGCAAATTACCACTTTCTGCTTAGTCTGTGAAAATAGTGTAAGGCACATTACACCTGACAATTTGATCTGCCATACAGGTAAGCTTAACAAATGAATAGGGGGAAGGCTACCTGGATGCTGATCTCAGAGTCAACAGCAGTTAGGGGACAGCCTGTCCCTAGCAGCAGACAACACCCGAACTTCTTATGGACTTGCAGTACGATTTGGGACAAGTTGCTGCCTCTCCATGTCCTAAGTTTGCATGCTTGCTAGATCGGGCTAGCAAAGTTTTCTTTGCCAAGTACCACATCAATGTAGATTCATAGATGCTAGGGTCGGAAGGGACCTCAATAGATCATCGAGTCTGACCCCCTGCCTAGGCAGGAAAGTGTGCTGGGTTCAGATGACCCCAGCCAGATGCCTATCTAACCTCCTCTTGAAGACCCCCAGGGTAGGGGAGAGCACCACCTCCCTTGGGAGCCCGTTCCAGACCTTGGCCACTCGAACTGTGAAGAAGTTCTTCCTAATGTCCAGTCTAAATCTGCTCTCTGCTAGCTTGTGGCCACTATTTCTTGTAACCCCCGGGGGCGCCTTGGTGAATAAAACCGCACCAATTCCCTTCTGTGCCCCCATGATGAACTTATAGGCAGCCACAAGGTTGCCTCTCAACCTTCTCTTGCGGAGGCTGAAGACGTCCAGGTGCCCCAGTCTCTCCTCATAGCCCTTAACCATACGAGTGGCCCTTCTCTGGACCCTCTCCAGGTTATCCACATCTCTCTTGAAGTGCGGCGCCCAAAATTGCACGCAGTACTCCAACTGCGGTCTGACCAGCACCCGATAGAGGGGAAGTATCACCTCCTTGGTTCTGTTCATCATGCATCTGCTGATGCACAATAAAGTGCCGTTAGCTTTTCTGATGACTTCGTCACACTGCCACTCATGTTCATCTTGGAGTCCACTAGGAATCCGAGATCCCTTTCCGCTTCCGTGCCACCAAGCAGGTCATTTCCTAGGCTGTAGGTGTGCTGGACATTTTTCCTTCCTAGGTGC